TAAATTAAGTTGGACGTGAGGACAACAACTCAAAGATGACATTAGATGAAGATCATACTTACAACGCAATCAATATCAAGGTTTATGCATTAGAGATGCAACATAGCACACTTTGATTAAATAACAAGTATACAGTTCACTGTTGCTACGACTGTTCTGGTTAGGGCTTCAGTAACACGTCGCCATTGCACTCACTTCTCTGTAGTCTTCTCAATCTGGCTCCGACACTGCCCAGAAGCTTTCATTTCTTCCTCACATGATCTCCTCCATGTCACCCTAGCCGTGGACGTCCAACTCATCGCTTCCCATTTCTGTCCAACTCGACGGCCTGGGATGGTGCGTGGTGTCCCTAAGTGATCTTCTTACTGTATCCCCAATCCATCTCCACTTTCTTCTACACATCTGTTGGGCGATGAGTCCTAGGCTCTTTGGTTCGTTGACAGGCCAGAGTTTCCCCTTGCTTATTCTTATTATTCTGGCCATCTGATCTTCAGTATCGAGCGTGGGTGGCAGCTGTTGATGAATGTCTGTAGTTTGTTGTAAATGCTTCCCGTGACGCGCCAAGTCTGCCAACCATCACATACCAGCACTCACTTATTTGACCGAATTAGTGTTGGAGATCTGAATCTTGTTCTTTGTGCTGAATGCAGTAGATCTTCACACTGATTTCAGGTTAATAAAGGCCTGTCTTGCTTTTCCGATCCTGGCCTCGATGTCCTCACCCGTGTTTGTGACACCGCCTGTAGTTGAAACAATGCTTCCTAGGTAGGTTAAAGAGACGACTTCCTTCAGATTTCTCCCGTTCATGGTCACTGGTACGTGTTGTAGTCGTTTCCGGGTGGGTATCTTTATCACCTCTGCCTTTTCCATGTTCACCTGAAAGAAGTGCCTTCTTCGCTGCTCTGTCTCTTCTGTCAACTTGTTTGTTTTCGTATGTATATCTTCAAGTTTGTGCAACGTAAGATATTAGATATAAATCATGACTGACGAAATCCAAATCTCCCAGAGTCATTTCCTCGATCAGACAGCGTATGACCATCTTCTCCTTACAGTTTTTTGCATAATCCAATCCACCACAATCAGAAAGATCATCGGCGATAGTAGGCGACAACCTTATCTTACTCCCGTCTTCACTTCAAAGGTGTCACTGAGCTTTCCATTGTGGATCACTTGGCATGTAGCATTATCATCAGATATCTGTTAAATGAGGTTGATAAAGGTTTGTGGCAGTGAAATCGTAGCGTTGGAGCAGCTGCCTGCCAAATCACTTCTCGATCGACGCCTCAATCGAAGGCCTTTTCAAAATCGATGAAGTTGGGGTAGAGATTTGACTGACATTCTATACTCTGTTCTATGATGATGTGCAGTGTAGCGTTGCAATTTGATCTGCATATGATTTGTTTTCCCTGAAGCCAGCCAGCTTGTACTGGTCGCAATTTTGGATCCAGTGCATTTTTAGTCTCTCCAGGATGATACGGCCTAATATTTTGCTTGGGGTGGAGAGAGGTGGAGCGTGATTCTGCCCCACTTCATGCAAAGACTAAGGTCTCCCTTCTATGAGAGTTTGACAAAGTAGCCCTCCTTCTAATCACCAGGTACGTTTCTTTCCCTCCTTGCAAACCTTCTGCAATAGTGATGTGAGAATGTCCATTGCTATTGTCTTTGCATCTGTTTTCAGTGCTTCTGGAGGAATTCCATCTGGTCGTGCTGCTTTTCCGGATTTCAACAACTTTATGGCGTGGTGTTCAGGACTTCTGCTTTCGTCGAAGGCTTTGTGTTTGCTGATAGTTCTGTGTCTGGTCTACTGATGGTATTTCGGGACGAGTTGCTGGTGGTGGTGGTCGATTCAAGAGTTTTCTGAAGTGGTCAGCCTATCGTTTCACATGTTTCTCCTCTTTGGTGTTAACTAAGTTTCCTTCACTATCTTTCATTGGTTTCGTCTGGGTTGATCTCTTCCCTCCCAGATAGTAACCTGGTTATTTGATACAATGTTGTCACGTCTCTCTCGTACCTGCAGCCCGTTCTGCTTCACTTGCATATAAATAATGAATAATGTAAATACTTAAACGATTACCATCTGAAAATTCTTGAAGGCGAAGGTTCAAATATTATACAAGAAGATATCAAAGAGTGAATAAATTTATTTCATTGCCTCCGATTTCCACCCATGTCGCCAAGACTCCTGAATCGTTGATGTTTATTGTCTCCAGTGCTCCTAGCCGGGTATTCTACTCCTCCCTACATGGCTGACACCGGTGTAAAGGAAAAATGATCTGGTTATCGTAGGGCTCGGGATATACTAAAACGTTTGTTTGGAAGGACCCATGAAGTCAGCCGGGCCTTACTACAGGATCTGATGGAATGCTCGAACATAGAACAAAACGATGCTGAGGCAATGTCGAGGTTAGCTATAAAAATGGAAAACTGCGCTATAGCCCTAGAGCAAATGGACTATACTGCGGACCTTAACTCCTTGAGAACTTTAGAAGGTATAGTAAAGAAATTGCCCCGTGTGTTACAGATGAAATGGGCGGAGACTGTCGAAAAGCTAACTGAAACCGAACGAGAACCTACCTTCGCAGAGTTAACGCAGTTTGTGTCAGCACGTGCGAGCATTTTGCTAAGTAGGTTTGGACAGCTGGCAACAAGCAGTCGACGACCAGATAGTAAAATAGCATGTTCCACGCAGCAGCTAGTACCCGTTGGGGGAGTCCTGAAACCTTCATGTATATTTTGTGGAGGGAACCATGTAGTCACAAAATGTACCACATTTCTGTCGTTACCGGTGGATGAGAGATGGTCGAAGGCTAAAGAAACAGGTTGTTGTTTTTCATGTCTTAAAAGGGGCCACAGGTCCGTAGAATGTAAAATTCACAGGGTGTGCAGTGTAGAAGGTTGTAAAGCATACCATCACCCTCTGTTACACAAGAAGACCCACCACGCCGTAGGCGAACAACCGGAGAAAGGTAGTTGTGGATGCACCGAGTCTCTCAGAGAAAGCGTGTGTTTGGGCCTACTCCCGGTACGTGTAAAGCACGGTAATAAAGAGGTTTACGGTTATGCTATCTTGGACAATGGCTCTGATACAACTTTGATCACGAAAAATGTTTTGCAACTTCTAGGATTGTCGACTGACGGCACAAAGACTATCATCAAAACTGTTAGTGGAAGTAGATTGGCGGACTCAGTCAGCAAGCCTTTCGAAGTTTATTCACTAGACGGAAACGAATGCATACTTATAGATCGAGCAGTTGTGGCAAGAGATCTCCCAGTACGGAGACCTAAAGGGTCGATGCGAGAAAGTATTAAAAGGTGGCCGCATCTGACTGACGTACCCTGGACAGAGGTGGAAGACGGGGAGGTATTGCTGCTCATCGGTTGCGATGTACCTGAGGCTCACTGGGTTCTAGATCAGAAGTTAGGGGGCAGAAAGAGCCCATATGCTGTGAGATCATTGTTGGGCTGGGTCGTGTTCGGTCCGACAAGCTTTCGTGAGCACAGGGAGAGGGTTGTGAATTGTATGTCTCGGTCAGATCTATTAGTCGATCAATGGAAGAAAATTTACGATTATGAGTTCAGCGATTTGTACTCGGGAGATAAGTCGTTATCTCTCGATGACCTAGCCGCTGTAAACATAGTGCAGCGAGGTACTTATTGGGATAATGGACATTTCGTTGTCCCCTTGCCCTGGAAAATGGAGTCCAAGAGAGTATACGGTGGATGCGAAGTAGCCAGGCGACGTTTGGAGAGTTTGAAACGCAGACTAATATCCTCTGAAAGCCTTCGCGAAAGCTACACTAGCGCCATGGAAGAGACCATCAGAAAGGGATATGCAGCAGTAGCTCCTGAGCCCCAGCTTAATCCTAGCTACCGCCCACGATGGTATTTGCCGCATCATGCCGTATTTAACCCCAAGAAACCGGGGAAGGTAAGAGTTGTGCTGGACTGCGCTGCCAAACTGTCCGGAACTTCTTTAAATGACTTCCTGTATCAGGGACCAGACACGACAGCGAACTTGGTTGGAATATTATTGCGTTTTCGCAAAGAACTGATTGCCCTGACGTCCGATGTGGAAGAAATGTTTATGCAGGTGAAAGTCCCAGAGTTTGACCGAGGTGCTCTGCGGTTCCTATGGTGGCCTCAGGGTGATTTCTCGAAGGAACCTATTGAATATCAAATGACGTCACACCCATTCGGTGCAGTGTCCTCACCGTTTTGTGCGTATTTTGCAATGGCCAAGACTGCCGAGACGTATGCCAACGATTATGATAGCTATGTGGTGGAAGCAGTGAAGCATAACTTTTATGTTGATGATTGCCTAGTGTCCTTTGCAAGCCCAGGTGAGGCAAAAACGTTCGTAAAACAGTCCACTGAGTTGTTGTTACGTGGTGGCTTTAAATTGAAGAAGTGGGTGACTAATTCAGAGGCAGTGAGAGTAGTTCTTCCTGGTCTGAGCCACACAGAGAACTCAGTCGACTTACGTGTTAGTCAAGGCTCAATCCACAGGGCCCTAGGTTTGGAATGGGACACCATGCATGATGTTTTTAAGTTCCGATTTGAACCCGTCGAAAAACCCTTCACGAAGAGAGGACTACTATCCACCGTCTCAGCTCTTTTTGACCCACTAGGCCTCATCGCCCCAGTTTGTCTTCCGGCCAAGCAGCTATTGCAGAATCTTTGCAAATCTCATGCTGGTTGGGATACACCCCTGAGTTCCAATGACCTATCCCTATGGATGGATTGGATGAGGTTCATGAAGAATCTTGGGCAAATCTCCGTACCCAGAAGTATCAAGAAGGAGGATAAGAGTGAGATGAGTAAGATTGAGTTGCACTTATTTTGCGATGCCTCTGAATCTGGTTATGGAGCGGTGGCTTATTCGTGGAACGTTCCAAAAAACACGCCACCCTACAGCATACTGCTTTATAGCAAATCCCGGGTTGCCCCTCTGAAAACGGTGACAGTGCCGAGATTAGAGTTAGCTGCGGCAGTATTGAGTGCACGAATGAGTGAAATTTTGAGGAAGAACCTCCCAAATAGCTTTGACAAGACTTATTTTTGGACAGATTCTATGATTGTTTTGTACTATATTAGAAATACAGAGAGTCGGTATAGTACGTTTGTGGCCAACCGTCTAGCCATTATTCACCAGTATTCATCCCCAAATCAGTGGGGGTACGTTAAATCTGAAGAGAATCCCGCAGATTGGACATCAAGAGGCATACGAAAAGCGTGTGAATTAGCGTCTTGGATTCAGGGCCCCTCTTTTCTGGGAACCCGACAGTTTTCAAGTACCACAGACCTCTGCTGGAAGGAACCACCGAAAAATGTCGAATTGAAGAGGTCGGTCCGAACAAACACAAACGTTACTGAGCTCACTGCTGATCCGATTTTGGCGTATCATTCGGACTGGGTGAGGCTGATTAAAGCTGTGGCATGGCTTAAGAGATATGTGGTCTACATATCCGTTATGTATTCGCGTCGCCAAGGTGTGTCACTGAATGTTGGCTATCTAACAGCCGATGAACTGGAAGCTGCTAGACATAAAGTATTATGTATGGTACAACAGGAGGTATATGGAGAATTAATAAAGGAACTCCGAGAAAAGGGTAGTTGTGAGACTGAAGAAGGTGAATTGCAAAGGTTGTCACCTATACTTGTGGATGGATTGGTCTGCGTCGGTGGGAGGTTGAACTATTCCGACTATCCACTTACTTTTAAGCATCCGGTTATCCTCCCCAGACATCACTTCGTGACTGAGCTGATCATAAGGCATTATCATATTATAGAAGGACATACTGGTACTTCGCAAGTCCTGGCCACTCTACGAAGAAACTATTGGATAATTAAGGGGATCAGTGCGGTCAAACGGGTGATAAGAAAGTGCATAGAGTGCCGACGATTGAAAGCTGCACTGGGTCAGCAGATGATGGCCCCTTTACCGGTCTGTCGCGTGCAGAAAGGATGGAAACAAGTTAATTACTTAGCTGACGTATTTTGGCGCCGATGGATGAAAGAGTATCTACCATGCTTGCAAACTCGTCAGAAGTGGTTGGGAAGGAAAAGAAATTTCAAGGAGGGAGATGTGGTGATTGTGGCCTCTGAAAAAACACCACGTGGTTCCTGGCCTTTGGGAGTGATCGAAACATGCGAGAAGGACGAAGACGATTTAGTAAGAACTGTGATGGTGCGTATGAAGGAAGGTACCGTGAGAAGAGATATAAGAAAGCTTTGTCTTCTTGAGGGAGTAGAAGAAAGATAGAGTATGCAGACAGCTAGGTAGATAGAGCCACGGCTGAATACACAGAGGTGTTTTGCGTGTCTGGAGGGATTTTGGTGGCCGGTGTAAAGGAAAAATGATCTGAAAATCCCTCCCGATCACCCTTATTTGATTGTATTGACATTTATTTTAACATTTTTACCCTCGTTATGGATGGTGTACCTTTGACCCTCGCCGGTGTAATGTTATTTGCTTGTTTAACTGTCTTATTTGACTTTACACTCGGTATTTGCCTTTGTATGTTTGAGACTTATTATGAGTGTTTCACTTTCCTATTATGTGACGCTGGACTGTTGATAAGGTGATGTTGTTTTACTGCGCACGACATTTTGTTTTGGTTCAACTTACGGTTGTGCAGTGATTTGACTGTTTGTCTTTTGACTGTCTACTGGGAACGTTTGTTTGTTGATTTGATTCCTGTAGGCAGAGTTTTGATCCCTTTTGCCGGGAATATTCCTATTGACCGACAGTACGTATTTGTACCCGAGAACGTTTTGGACTGTATAGTTACCCAACGGCACTGTTGAAAAAAAAAAAAAAAAAAAAAAAAAAAAAAAAAAAAAAAAAAGTACCACAGATTTTGTTACGAATCTACTATTGAATTACTACAAACCGTGTTTTGATATTTCGATCCAACCTTTGACTGTGCGTCACTCGCGGAAGTTAGAAAGCTGTACAGTAGAACGCAGGAACTAGTCAGATTCACGTCAGTTGGCACCGCCTAGCTATTTCCCGCGTTCAGGCCAAGATTATTGGATTCTGGCCGCTACAACCGGTAGTTAGAGACTCCATCGAGTGGTGAAATGTTTTGGTCCCATCACTATGAACCATCATTCAACCTAATCCAACTTCCCCCAGCATGATATGTCGAGGTAGAAAAAGGTTCAGTATGTCCGACACTTGTCCAAGCCATTTCTGATGATGATAGTGCATGACCTCATCGACTGACTTTCCCTTCTTGCTTAGCTCCTTTCACCTAATCTCGACGTTTCTCACAAACTGGCTCCACAAAATGTGCGTCAGAAATGCTACAATGACACCTGTGGTCAAAACCCGTAATCTCTTCATATCTTCTACTTTCAGCGACAATGTCGGGGTAACTGGATATAACAGACTGCAGCTCATCAAATCACCTTTCAGTATGTCGTCGGAAAACGTGTTGGTGCCACAGATGAGGTGAATTGGAAAATCTGAAACAGGTCTTTACTATCACTTTCTATCAATATGCTGAGAGTGGTCACATACCATTCCTGGAGCATCATCTTACATATGACAAGTGCAAAATGAACGTCGACCAAACATACTGAGGTTTCTATGAGATGCATTTAGAACATCCTGCACTTATCAGCGTCTTCATTCAGCAGGAGAATATCGTCTGCATACTCCAAGCCAGCAAGATGCCGTTCAGAGAGGGGGTCGACCTCTCTAAGAACGCATGCCACTGATAGTATGTTAATTAGTACATCCATGTCAAGCCTAAACTGGAACGGTGATAGTATGCATACCTGGTGGTCACCACTAGTTGACAATTCTGAACGCAACTTTCCATAAGCCCTTACTTGGCTATGTCAGTTCGAGCAGATAGCTTCGACTAACGCTATATACTTTCTCGATACTCGCTTTACAGTCAGACACTGCCACAAGGCCTCGTAGTCGACTGACTCAACTACTGCCTTCCGGTCAAGAAATATAATGTGTTGGCCACTGGTAGTAATATCCATGTTCTAGAACCTGTCTTAGGTAAAAATATGATCGGTTCACCGTCAAATGGGTCTGAAACCTGTCTGGTCTTATCGAGTTTATTGTTCTTAAGCTCCAGTTAGGCGTTCAACAAATCTGAATCCGAGGATCTGAGATATGACGTCAGTACAACTGATTTCTTTACTATTGTTACTGAAAGACTTTTCTTCCTCCTGTAAACTATAATAGTCAGTAAAGTAAAGCACTCTGTCAGGAATACCTTAGATTCTTATGAATTACCTAGTACTTCTGCTACTCTACTCACTAATTACTTAGTTCCTCACAAGAAAACAGTATCTAATACACAATAGATTGCTTTGCATTCAATTATCAATCGTATCGAGACGTACTAGCAATATGTAGATCATGATGTCACCTTAATGACGAGTAAAGTGGTCAAATGAGCTAATAATAACAATAATAATAATAATAATAATAATAGCGACTTTATTCTGAAAGGTATTTCGAGAATACTCTACAGCATCTTCAACATGTCATGTGGCATCAATTGAACTGAAACAGTGTACACGTTTACATAGCAAAATGAAGCAAACAGAAATTACATATAAAAGATAAGAATATTCACCCTATCTACAACTTTCTTGAAAAGCCAGAGTCAACTCAGCTAGAGGGTCACATTAGCAACTAGATTCATAATATACACAAATAACAACAAGCTGTATACTCATTAATTAGTTTACTTTAAAAACAAACAAAAATTGATTAAGAAGTAGTATTCATCATGGACTGACATCAGGTGGGGAAGCATTGAAAATCTGGAAGCATTGGACAGCTGTTCCGTCCAACTAGTATGGGACTCCTGAGCAGTACGCACCACGACCCTGCTAGGGATGGAACTCAGGATCTTCAGGTTTCACGCCGAATGCGTTAACCATTCAGCACTGGGTCGGTTTACCTAGTTCATTTGTAATACATTCTTAGTCGAACAGGAGACAAGCTAAATACATACGGTATTGTCGAGCTTTTAAATTCATTACATACAGTCTTGTGTCCTTGCTTCTCATCTTTCCAAATGACCGACACGCAAGGAACTTAGAGTAAAGACAGTGCTAATCATCTGACAAAATAGCTTCTACCAGATGTTCGTATGAGTAAAGATGTTTGTCTACAACTGTTTTAATAAGTAGGTTAACATGTACACCAGTAGTTCTTCTGACAATCTTCACAGTTCTACACAATACACAACATAGTCTTTATTCAGCAACCGAAGAAAGAACAAAGTGGGATAATAGAGGAGTATAGGCAAGATTCAAGAGTTTATAAAAGACAAGAGGAGATGCTGAGTTATACCAGATACTGTCAGCTTCCTAATGTCGAAAGTTGGGTAGAAACATCTTTTGGAAATTAGTAAGATGTGGGAAGATTAGGAAATGTCTGAAGAGAAACACACACCGAGATAGATCTTACTTGTAACATCCTTCAATGCACAACTATCAATAGAACAGGAATCATGAGAACTATGCAGTTTGCATAGGTTACATTTATGTCTAAAACTAAAGTTTGTCTGACATTTTTGAAGAACTAAGCATGAGACCATTCATGGGGGACCGTCGTGTAGCAGTAGATAAAAAGGAAATCATCCAGTTGAGAGCGATCTGTTGAAGTGAAGACAACTACAGAAAGTGTCAAGTCATCAGCACATTTAATAAAACTGGTACTAGCTGAAGTCATACAAAAAGAAAGAGGAAAGACAGAGGGAAAGGTGGCTAGAGTCTGCTAATTTAAAAGTGAACCAGGAAATACGGGAAAAACACCAACACTTATACTAAAAAAAAGGTGAAACTAATTCTGCAAGTGGTAGTACCCCTTAAGAAACTGTGTATGTATGCTCGCTAATTTGATAAAGCATAACTTAGCTTTCCAAAAACCACTCCCTTAACATAAAATATAAAAAGGCTAGTTAAAAACGATATCATAATGAAAATAGTATTTAAAAAAAGTAGCTCAGGAAGCTAAAATTAGGATACATTTTCCCAGATTAACTTTAGTTCATTGAACTTACACTCTCTGCCGCCAATTTTGAATTCCAAACCAACCTAAGTGCAAAGTATAATCAAGTACTTAAAATTGTTCAGTTATACATTTGCTTGTTTGTAATTGTAAAGCTATTTAAAACATAATTCAATTATCATTTGATTAAAAGCTTTGAGAAATTTCATCTTATCATTTATTGATTCGAGTAGAAGTTTTCATGTATGAAACACTCAGATGTCTGATAGTGTATCAGTCGATCTAGAAAGAATCCATTGAAGAAGGTTTCTACTTGAAATGTGACTGAGTACAAATACTAAAATGATTCACTAATAAACTGTGATAAAATTATACTAATAGTAAATTCAGTCAGAAAATTATGCCATTACTAATTGATTGTTACATGTAGATTTCAAGATATTTCAATAAATTAGATCAACATTCCGTTACTTTATTCTATCTAAATGTCAAATTTAATCTCTACAAACAAACTATTATAATTAGTCTAAACTTGGAAGCAACACAGTAGACTTAAAACGCTGAAATCAACCAATATGAGTCACCTTACCTTTGTAGGTAATGTGATTACTGATATACAAGTAAAATGACCGGCAACTATAAATATTATATTATTATTTGTCCCTTGGGTTCCTAGTCAAACGTAGGGCTTCAGTAGCACTCCTCCATTTCACTCTGTTCTCTGCAATCTTCAAAACCTAGCTCCACGACTGCCCACAACCTCTCACTTCTTCTTCACACCATCTCCTCCATGTCACCCTCACATCGGACGCCCGACTCGTTGTTTCCCATCTGGGTTCCACTCGAGTGCCAGGCCTGGTGCATGATATCCCCGAATGGTCTTCTCAGTGTATGCCAATTCAATCCATCTCCACTCCCTTCCACTGCATATTTATTGAGCGATAGGTTCTTGGTTGGTTCGTTGTCTGAGTTCCTTGTTGTTTATTATTTCTGGCCATCTCATTTGATCTTCAGTGTCCAGTGTAGGCAGTTATTGATGAATGTGTGTAGTTTGTTGGAAGTCCCTTTCGTAACGTGCCAAGTCTTTGAGGCATACAGATGCATTGACTTGACTGAATTGGTGTTGAAAATCCGAATCTTGTTCCACAATAAAATATGATAAAGTTATACTAATAGTAAATTCAGTCAGAAAATTATGCCATTACTAATTGATTGTTACATGTAGATTTCAAGATATTTCAATAAATTAGATCAACATTCCGTTACTTTACTCTATCTAAATGTCAAATTTAATCTCTACAAACAAACTATTATAATTAGTCTAAACTTGGAAGCAACACAGTAGACTTAAAACGCTGAAATCAACCAATATCCATCTGAATATAATTAAGGGATAAGGTGAAGAAGAAACGAGAAAACCAAGGGAGAAATAGACCAACTTTAAGTGTAATCTCCT